CTGCTCCTGGTTAGGGGAGTAAATGTTAAGTGTAAAAATAGATTGCAGATACAGTATCTCACAGAAGTGAGTCCACCCCTCACACTTTTGTAAATATTTTATTATATCTTTTCATGTGACAACACTGAAGAAATGACACTTTGCTACAATGTGACGTAGTCAGTGTACAGCTTGTATAACATGTAAATTTGCTGTCCCCTCAAAATAACTCAACACACCGGCCATTAATGTCTAAATCGCTGGCAACAAAGTGAGTCCACCCCTAAGTGAAAATGTCTAAATTGGGCCCAAAGTGTCAATATTTTGTGTGGACACCATTATTTTCCAGTGCTGCCTTTACCCTCTTGTGCATGGAGGTCACCAGAGCTTCACAGGTTGCCACTGGATTCCTCTTCCACTCCTCCATGACGACATCACGGAGCTGGTGGATGTTAGAGACCTTGCACTCCTCCACTTTCCGTTTGAGGATGCCCCACAGATCAATAGGGTTCAGGTCTAGAGACATGCTTGGCCAGTCCATCACCTTTACCCTCAGCTTCTTTAGCAAGGCAGTGGTCGTCTTGGAGGTGTGTTTTGGAGTCATTACTGCCCTGCGGCCCAGTCTCCGAAGGGAGGGGATCACGCTCTGCTTCAGTATATCACAGTACATGTTGGCATTCATGGTTCCCTCAATGAGCTGTAGCCCCCCAGTGCCGGCAGCACTCATGCAGCCCCAGACCATGACACTCCCACCACCATACTACTTGACTGTAGGCAAGACACACTTGTCTTTGTACTCCTCACCTGCTTGCCACCACACACACTTGACAACATCTGAACCAAATACGTTTATCTTGGTGTCATCAGACCACAGGACATGGTTCCAGTAATCCATGTCCTCAGTCTGCTTGTCTTCAGCAAACTGTTTGCGGCTTTCTTATGCATCATCTTTAGAAGAGGCTTCCTTCTGGACGACAGCCATGCAGACCAATTTGATGCAGTGTGCGGCGTATGGTCTGAGCACTGACAGGCTGACCCCCCACCCCTTCAACCTCTGCGCAATGCTGGCAGCACTCATATGTCTATTTCCCAAAGACAACCTCTGGATATGACGCTGAGCACGTGCACTCATCTTTCCTTGGTTCACCATGGCAAGGCCTGTTCTGAGTGGAACCTGTCCTGTTAAACTGCTGTATGGTCTTGGCCACCGTGCTGCAGCTCAGTTTCAGGGTCTTGGCAATCATCTTATAGCCTCGGCCATCTTTATGTAGAGCAACAATTCTTTTTTTCAGATTCTCAGAGAGTTCTTTGCCATGAGGTGCCATGTTGAACTTCCAGTGACCAGTATGAGAGAGTGAGAGCGATAACACCAAATGTAACACACCTGCTCCCCATTCACACCTGAGACCTTGTAACACTAACGAGTCACATGACACTGAGGGAAAATGGCTAATTGGGCCCAATTTGGACCCTGTCACTTAGGGGTGGACTCACTTTTGTTGCCAGAGGTTTAGACATTAATGGCGGTGTGTTGAGTTTATTTTGAGGGGACAGCAAATTTACATGTTATACAAGCTGTACACTGACTACGTCACATTGTAGCAAAGTGTCATTTCTTCAGTGTTGTCACATGAAAAGACCACCTGGCTCTCCTTTAGAGTTGAATGGCCATTGCTTTGAAGCTACAGTTGAGTATTGATGCTGTCTGTATTGTTTTGTCTGTATTGTTTCATGATATGGAAGCTGATTTCACCATTCCTTGATGTAAGTTGCTATAATAAAATAGTGTGTTATCTGATTCAAATGCTGACCCCTGGTCTGTTTATCCTATGCTGGTTTTATTTACTTTAGGGTAATGATGCACTTTTACTGTACTGTGTGCAGTGGATTTATTTATTGAACTGTGTCAAATTCTAATATTTCATGATTGCTGTGGCACTTTAGTGTTTGCATGTGACACGTGTGGCACAATTATGAGATCTTCAGATAATACACTATGTTTAGGTTTTATATTTTTTTTGAGGTATATGAAGATTATCTGGAATTCACCATCGACCTCTCCTAGGATCTGAGTCATTGTGAATTTATCTACAAGTACTTTTGGACTTTATTTTGGACTTTGGGCTGAATTGATATTATTGATTGATTTATTCAAGTCTACTTTAATGACCCTTTAACTGCCTTCCAGCAAGATCAAGCCGTTGCTAGTGTTGTGTTTAGAAGCTGCACAGCAACAATGGCATTGTAGGGCGATATGTTATTCATCTCAGGTGATTGGTTACCGTGACAAAGAAACGAGCTCTCCCACAAGGCTTGAATTTCGTGTACTCCTATAATTGGTGTGTTGCCGACAACACCTGCGATTTCCAAAAGGTGCGTTCAATCCGGCGTGAAGAACAAGAAGCGCAGTGTTTGGTAATTACTGGCCATTTCATAAAGATTGCCTTGGATGACGTTATATAATAAAACTTTCATAAAGGAAAAGGTCATGCGGAAAGGGCATCATCCTTTGCCAAAAGCAACCAATTTGCACCCATCTCTCCATGATCCGGCCTGATTATTATTATTATTATTATCCAGAATTTATATTATTATTATTATTATTATTATTATACAGGATTTATATTATTATTATTATTATACAGGATTTATATATTATTATTATTATCCAGGATTTATATATTATTATTATTATTATTATTATTATTATTATTATCCAGGATTTAAATATTATTATTATTATCCAGGATTTATATATTATTATTATTATTATACAGGATTTATATATTATTATTATTCAGGATTTATATATTATTATTATTATTATATACAGGATTTATTATTATTATCCAGGATTTATATAATATTATTATTATTATTATTATCCAGGATTTAAATATTATTATTATTATACAGGATTTATTATTATTATTATTATCCAGGATTTAATATATTATTATTATTATTATTATTATCCAGGATTTATATATTATTATTATTATACAGGATTTATATATTATTATTATTATCCAGGATTTATATTATTATTATTATCCAGGATTTATATGGCGCCAACAGTTTGCTCAGCGCTTTACAATATAACGGGAGACAATACAGCAACAATACAGTTCAATACAAGAGGGATAGGAGGGCCTGATCCTTGGAGCTTACAATCTAGGATGAAAGATCAACTCTGGCTGCTATGGTTTGGAATGGCTCCTTAACTCCCTACCAACACCTCCTGCAGGTTCTAAATGATGAGAGGTGAAGGTGGAGCTCCTGATCGTGTGATTACTGTGATTGGCCACCCAGTGGTCACATCATTGCTCCAATCGCTAACAGTGACTGGGAGCTGTCAGTAACAGCTCAGTCAGTGCACTGGGAGTACGCAGTGAGAACACAATAATGGTGCTCCGTGGCGTTATAGTGAAATTTAAAGTGTTACTAAACCCCCAACAGTACAATCAGTCTGTAGATGCAGTAAAGCATGCTTGTTATACTCACTGTGGAACCTAAGGGGTTAATCCTCTGCATTGTGTACAAAGGCTGTTTGATCCTGTCTTCTCTGATCCTCCCCTTCTTCTCCCTGTCCCCAGTCCATCAGTTGATAGTGCAGAACTCTAGGAGATACTCTGCACATGATCAGTTTGGTGTGTATTGCTACAGAGTTTTTTTGTGTTCTGTGGAGAGTGCATGTGATCAGCACAGGGCCAATCAGCACTGTCGAGATAGAGGTCAGTTCTGCATCCTCCTAGAGAAAACTTCTCCTACAAGCTTTAACCAGTGCTCTGCTGGACACTGATAGAAGTCACAAGACTGCTATACACTGCTGATGAGAAAAGGTATTTAGCAGTTTATATTTACTAAAATAATTGAATTTCCATGTTGTGTGTACTGTGGGAGACTGATATAGTGAATGCAGGGTCCTGGGAGAGCAGGATATAGTGAATGCAGGGTCCTGGGAGAGCGGATATAGTGAATTCAGGATCCGGGGAGAGCAGATATAGTGAATGCAGGGTCCGGGGAGAGCGGATATAGTGAATGCAGGGTCCGGGGAGACCGGATATAGTGAATGCAGGGTCCGGGGAGAGCGGATATAGTGAATGCAGGGTCCGGGGAGACCGGATATAGTGAATGCAGGGTCCGGGGAGACCAGATATAGTGAATGCGCAGGGTCCGGGGAGAGCGGATACAGTGAATGCAGGGTCCGGGGAGAGCGGATATAGTGAATGCGGGGGCCGGGGGAGACCAGATATAGTGAATGCAGGGTCCGGGGAGACCGGATATAGTGAATACAGGGTCCGGGGGAGACCAGATATAGTGAATGCAGGGTCCGGGGAGAAGCGGATATAGTGAATGCAGGGTCCGGGGAGACCGGATATAGTGAATGCAGGGTCCGGGGAGACCAGATATAGTGAATGCGGGGTCCGGGGAGAGCGGATACAGTTTGCAGGGTCCGGGGGAGGAGAGCGGATATAGTGAATGCGGGGTCCGGGGAGACGGATATAGTGAATGCAGGGTCCGGGGAGACCGGGTGTATAGTGAATGCAGGGTCCCCCCAGATATAGTGAATGCAGGGTCCGGGGAGAGCAGATATAGTGAATCTGCAGGGTCCCTGGGGAGAGCGGATATAGTGAAAGTTCAGGATCCGGGGAGAAAAAATATAGTGAAAAAAGGGTCCGGGGAGAGCGGATATAGTGAATGCAGGGTCCGGGGAGAGCGGATATAGTGAAAAAGGGTCCGGGGGAGAGACCAGATATAGTGAATGCGGGGTCCGGGGAGAGCGGATACAGTGAATGCAGGGTCCGGGTCAAGCGGATATAGTGAATGCGGGGTCCGGGGAGACCAGATATAGTGGTATGCAGGTCCGGGGAGTGGATATAGTGAATACAGGTCCGGGGAGGCCAGATATAGTGAATGCAGGGTCCGGGGAGAGCGGATATAGTGAATGCAGGGTCCGGGGAGACCGGATATAGTGAATGCAGGGTCCGGGGAGACCAGATATAACAATGCGGGGTCCGGGGAGAGCGGTATACAGTGAATGCAGGGTCCGGGGAGAGCGGATATAGTGAATGCGGGGTCCGGGGAGTACCGGATACGTGAATGCAGGGTCCGGGGAGACCGGATATAATGAATGCAGGGATCCGGGGAGACCAGATTTTGTGAATGCAGGGTCCGGGGAGAGCAGATATAGTGAATGCAGGGTCCGGGGAGAGCGGATATAGTGAATGCAGGGTCCGGGGACCAGCGATATAGTGAATGCAGGGTCCCGGGGAGAGCGGATATAGTGAATGCAGGGTCCGGGAGACCGGATAAGTGAATGCAGGGTCCGGGGGAGATGAGCGGATTTAGTGAATGCAGGTCCGGGGAGAGCGGATATGGTGACTCTGGCATTGGGAGGAACCTCTTTACCCTAAGGTCATTAAAGAAGAATGTGGCAAACAATGAAGTCATGATAAACAAGCAGAGGGCACACCGGTATAGTGCATTATCCTTTAAAATAGTAGATTTATTGGAAAAAAGTAAGTATTATACTCGCAGAGTCATAAAAGGTGCAAATACATCTTATGAGTATAGCACAAACAGTCCTCAAAGTATCAAGTTGAACAGAAACGATGGAACATCTAGAGGCTGACGCGTTTCGAGGACTTATCCTCTTCCTCAGAGCCTACTGAGCTAATAGCAGTACTGCAGTGTTCCCAGACCTCCCCAGTCTTGTGAGGGCAGCAAGGCAAGTGCACCCCAGGAAGGCCAAGTGTTTGACTATAGCCCATTAATGCCATTGGGCCAACTCCCCAAGCGCAGGAAGATTGAAGTTTTCCATCTCTTGGCCAAACAATGAAGTTGGATGAGAAGCAGTTTAATGTTATACTTCATATGGGGGTTCTTTATGGTTAGAGAGGTAAGGATATGGAACTTCAGTTGGTGGTGTAATTGGGAAATATACTGTTGATACATTCAAAAAATATTTAGTTGTGTTTCTATGTAAATACAATGTACAGAGATATGGAAAGATTACTGATTGGAACACACACCCACACAGGCTGAACTGGATGGACCTGGTTCTTTCTTGCCTTCTCAGCTATGTAATTGTGTACAAAAACCTCAACTCAAAGAAATATTTTCCATTACAGAAGAATGTGGCCGCTGGGTGTGCGGGAAGGCGCTGTAGAAACATCATCAGCTACACATGCTAAGCAGCTTGGCCCAAATTAACTAAAGTAACATTAAACCTGGAAATCTACTCTAAGGTATAGGAGCTGTGACCAGAAGATTGTATGGGGTTGGTTTGCTGGCTGCGCAAACAGGTGACATAAAAAACTGACTCCTTTCCTTCCTTCCTCTTCCTTTCCTTTATGCCCCCACCGCTCCCTCATCCCCCCAAAATGTTTCTACTAGTAATGGCGGCGATCAGCGACTTATAGCGGAACTGCGATATTGCGGCGGACATTTTTACACTAACTGACACTTTGTGGGAACCGGCGACACTAATACAGTGATCAGTGCTAAAAATATACACCGTCACTGTACTAATGGCACTGGTTGGGAAGGGGTTAACATCTAGGGTGATGAAAGGGTTAAAATGGAACTACACCCAAAAGCGGATGTTCCGCTGTAAGGACTGCTCCCCCGCTCCCCATTAAGGATTGGCACCTTTGGGGAGCGGGGTACCCAAATTTGACAGGTACCCGCTCCCACTTCCGGTCCGATCGCCTAAGTGATCAGAAGTGGAAGGTGTCCCCCCTCCCTGTAGTCTTGTGGGACACGTGACAGGTCCCAGAAGACTACAGGACCATTCATGAAGCGCATGTGCTACTCGTGCATGCACAGTGGGCACCCGGGTCTGTGAAGCCGCAAGCAGTCATAGCCGGGTGCCCACACTGAAGATGCCAGCCTCCTGGAATACAGGATGGCCAGTGAAACGGGCTGCAGCCGTCACACCGAGGGACAGGTAAGTGGCTATTTTTTAACCACTTGCCTACCGGACACTTATACCCCCTTATTTACCAGACCAATTATCAGCTTTCAGCGCTGCCGCACTTTGATTGACAATTGTGCGGTCATGCAAAGTACCCATATGACATTTTGATAATTTTTTTCTCACAAATAGAGCTTTCTTTTGGTGGTATTTAATCGCCGCTGGGCACTGTACTTTTTGCGCTATAAACAAAAAAAACACTGCAAAAAATTTGAAAAAAAAGAAATTTCTTTGTTTCTATTATAAAATTTTTCAAACAGGTAATTTTTTCTCTCTTCACTGATGTGCGTTGATGAGGCAGCACTGATGGGAACTAATAGGTGGCACTGATGGGCACTGATAGGAAGCACTAAAGGGCACTGACAGGCAGTACTAATGAGGTGGCACGGATAGGCGGCACTGATAGGCAGCACTAATGAGGTGTCACAGATAGGCGGCACTGATATGCAGCACTGATAGGCGGCACTGATAGGTGACACTGATGATGGGTACTGATAGACGGACACTTACTGGCATCATTGCTGGGCACTGACTGGCACAACCGCTGGGCACTGACTGGTGGCACTGACTGGCAGCACTGCTGGGCTGCACTGGTGGGCAGCACTGGTGGGTGGGCACAGGTGGGTGGCACTGGTGGGCACAGGTGGGTGGGCACAGGTGGGTGGCACTGCTGGGCACAGGTAGGTGGCACTTCTGGGCACAGGTGTGTGACACTGCAGAGTGGTATAGGTGGGTACACTGCTGGGCACAGGTGGGTGATCTGCTGGGTGGCACAGGTGGGTGATCTGCTGGGCACAGGTGGGTGATCTGCTGGGCACAGGTGGGCGGAGCTAGTGGGCGCACTGCTGGGCACAGGTGGGCGGAACTTGTGGATGGCACTGCTGGGCACCGATCATCAGTGCCCTGATGATTGGTGTCAATTCCCCGCTCTGACAACTGCCGGTTCCCGGCAGTACTTTCCTCACGATCTGACAGCGTGAGGAAAGTGCAGCCGAGAAAAATTTGCAATTGAATTTCCCGGTGATCAGCGTGTCATTGGACACAGCTGATCACGTGGTAAAAGGCCGCTGTGATTGGCCTTTTACCACATCACGTGATCAGCTATGTTCGTAAGACACAGCGATCACGGAGATCGCCGGTGCGCGCCCCCTGGGGCGCGCAGGAGAGCGCGTTCTGGGAGGACGTCATATGACGTCCATCCAGAACTGGCCGGCCTCAGTGCAGCCGTCATTTGGCTATCTGCGGTCGGCAACTAGTTAAAAGTCAGCAGCTACAGTTTTTGTAGCTGCTGACTTTTATTTTTTGATAGGTGAACTCCGCTTTAAGTGTGTGCCTAGCTATGTGCTTGGTGTACACTAGGTAGTGCTGGTACAAGAGGAAGTGATGGATCGTGTTCCCAGCTTTGCAGGGACATAGGATGGGTCACTTCCCCCTCTCACAACAGAGCTCTGCCCATGTAAACATAGGCACATCACTGTTCTTCCTCCCTGCCTGAAGATCTGCGGGTGCCGGTGAACATCCGTTCACCGGGACTCACAGATCGGCTTCTGCTGTGGCAGATCACAACAGAAGCAATCTTGAGCGGCGCACGCATGCTCACATGTGGCGGAAGTGCAAAGTCACATATATACACCTGTATGTGATTTTGCACAGGTGGACCTGCCCTGTAGCAGTAAAACTGCTATAGGGTGGGCAGAAAGTGTTTATAATAAAAAAGTGGAATAAGTGAGCGCTGGAAATAATATAATATAACAGCGGCTATGCACCAAAGGCACCATATAAGACCTTTAAGCAAACAGTAATATAAAAGGAGGGGGGTGCAGCGCTAGTAAAATTCACAAAAAATTATAAATAATAATATTAAAACAGTAGGTTCACATATAAATATACATAATATAGTGACACTGTGCAAATGTGTGTGCCACTAAATGTGTGGCTGGTATCGTGAAGGAAGTGTCAGACTCAATCAACTAAAAGGTAAGTCCAAGGTGACAATGTGAGTGAGATCTCAGACGATCTTCAGACGTCCAATAACTGAAACCGTGGAAGAGGTGAGAAAATAGGGTATAGATTGCTCACTCACCAGATACGCAATCTTTATGCGCATTTATGTTGTATATCAAAAAACATCAGATGTCCTCAAATAGGTCTGGTCAGATCTGGTCAAGTATCATTCACTTTGGCATCATCCAGAAAGAGCTGGCCCTGGTGGTCGATGTAATAGAAATATTCCCTCAGACGACTGAGGGAATATTTCTATTACATCGACCACCAGGGCCAGCTCTTTCTGGATGATGCCAAAGTGAAGAACTTCATCACCTGCTTCAAAGAGCGGTCATCCCTGAGTGTGAACCCTGAGTGTGGACCATGAGGCAGTGAATGATACTTGACCAGATCTGACCAGACCTATTTGAGGACATCTGATGTTTTTTGATATACAACATAAATGCGCATAAAGATTGCGTATCTGGTGAGTGCGCAATCTATACCCTATTTTCTCACCTCTTCCTCGGTTTCAGTTATTGGACGTCTGAAGATCATCTGAGATCTCACTCACTTTGTCACCTTGGACTTACCTTTTAGTTGATTGAGTCTGACACTTCCTTCACGATACCAGCCACACATTTAGTGGCACACACATTTGCACAGTGTCACTATATTATGTATTTTTATATGTGAACCTACTGTTTTAATATTATTATTTATCATTTTTTGTCAATTTTACTAGCGCTGCACCCCCCTCCTTTTATATTACAGAAAGTGGTTATAGATACATTGAACACAAAAATAAAATTGCAACTGCCACCATTTTATTGTTGGTGGTCTCTGCTTTAAGAACATGTTTGGGGAGTTTAAGGTCATTTCTATAAAAAAAAATGCTGATATTGACGTGTGCGAAAAATTCTAAACTTCCCCTGGACGTGAAGGGTCACCTAAGGCCCTGATTAGATCATGGGATTTTCTATTTTTTTTTCTCTATGTACTACTGTATATCCTGGTTTCTGTTGCCATTCTGTCATGTGAGTATTATCTGGTAAACATCATGAGAGCGATTTATTTATCCATCACACGGCACCAGATTGCGCTGGATTTCACAATGTTTTATGTAATCAAAATGGGGCTCCTTGTCCAAAATATATTTTTTTAATTTAAAGGTGAACTAACCGTTTAAAGGGAACCTGTAAGATGAAAAATGCGGATGCAGCCATTGCTCAAATCCTTCTGAATATGTTAGTCTCCTGGCTGTCATGGCGTC